CCCTAACCCTAACCCTAACCCTAACCCTAACCCTAACCCTAACCCTAACCCTAACCCTAACCCTAACCCTAACCCTAACCCTAACCCTAACCCTAACCCTAACCCTAACCCTAACCCTAACCCTAACCCTAACCCTAACCCTAACCCTAACCCTAACCCTAACCCTAACCCTAACCCTAACCCTAACCCTAACCCTAACCCTAACCCTAACCCTAACCCTAACCCTAACCCTAACCCTAACCCTAACCCTAACCCTAACCCTAACCCTAACCCTAACCCTAACCCTAACCCTAACCCTAACCCTAACCCTAACCCTAACCCTAACCCTAACCCTAACCCTAACCCTAACCCTAACCCTAACCCTAACATACCTTCCTCCTCTCATCCTTACCCACTTTTCATCATCCTCATCCTCACCCTTTCCCTCACCCTTTCCCTCATCCTCATCCTCATCCTCATCCTCATCCTCATCCTCATCCTCATCCTTATCCTCATCCTCATCCTCATCCTCATCCTCATCCTCATTCTTCACCTTCATCACTTCTCACCCTCTCTTCTATTCAATCTCCTCATTCTTCATATTTTTCCTTTTTTTTTCACTTCCCTTACTTTCACCTACTTCTTTTCCTCTTATTTTACCTTTTCCTTTTCTCCTTTTTCCCTCCTTATTTCTTCTCCATCCCTTCTTATTCCAACCTTCATCTCATCTCATCTCCTTATTTTTTACCTTCAACCCCCATCCTTTTCTCCTCTTTATTCATACCCATACTTTCCTATTTTCATTTAATTTTCTCACATTTTTTCCTTCCCCCTCCCTTCAACTCTTCTCCCCTCATCCATTAACCTTCACTTCTCTTTTTTTTTCCTACTTATCTTCCTTCCTATACCTCTCCCACTTTCACTCACATTCTTCTCTCCAATCTCTCCTTCTTCCCGCCTCTCTTTTCCCACCTCTCTTTTCATTAATCCAATTTTCATCAAATCAAACTCTTATCCACACCATTACAACACCACTTTACCCCCGCACCTTTTATCTTCTTTCTCTTCCTCCTCCTCTACCTTCTCCTCACCTCCTTCACATTCTCAATACCTTCACCACCCCTATTTTTCCATCCTCCTTTTTTTCTCAATACTCCCTCTCAACAATTTTCAATTCTTTTTCCATACCTTTCCCCTACACTACATTCCTCTTCCCATTCCTTTTCCAATTTTATTCTCATGATGTTAATTCTCCCTTTCATCGACTCCTGACCCCTTCCCCTCACCTTCACTTCTTCCTTCTTTCCTCCGTGCCCCTTTTCGTCTCTTCCCCTTCCATCCGATCAATGCCCCTTTCATCTTCACCCATGCTTTTTGATTTTTTTCCTCGCTTCGTGTTCTGCTTGTCCCACTGCTCATGCTTTTCGCCACTCGCTCGCTCCCATCTCTTTCAATCCTTCCCCTTCGTTCAATATCTTCCGTTTACCTTTCCTATCCATCTCCTCTCTCGCCCCATCTCGCACCTTTTTTTTATTTATTTTTTTTTTTTAACTTTTTACCTTCCCGCCCGTCCCTCACGCCACCTGTTGCGCTTCCTCTCTCCAAATCTTTCTTCTCCTGAAAGTCGACTTTCCAAACCGATCATCTTTCCCTCAACTCTTGCTGCTCTTTCAATCACACATTTTGCCAAACGCCGCCTCCCCGTCCTGCTCTCTCAAATCCCTCTGTTTTGCATACTTCCTAATTTTTACCTGATTGCCGCATCTTCATCTTCCTCTCCGCCGCTTTGTTGCTCAATTCCTACTTCACGCTCAATGATCCGGTACCGTCCTCACGCCACCTGCTTCCCTTTCTCTCGACTTGTATCCTTGCACGCGTTTCAAACTTTTGCTTCCTCGCCTTGATATTATAAATTGATGTCTTTCAACAATCCTTTCACCAACGCATTAGCGGTTAGCCTCCGATCGTGTCGCTGTTAGCGGTTGCGCCGAGCCCACATGACAATAAACATTCTGAAAGTTTCGATTGAGTACCGACAGTACAGCGCACCAAAAGCTCGAACGTTGACTTGTCATGTAAAATTAATGGCCACCACGACAAAAAGAACCCAAAAATTGAACAAATGCGAGCAACGGGCCATTTGCGAAGACCGAGTGACAGCCGGGCCCCTGGTCACAATTTTCGGCGCACGTCAAAACAAAGCACACGTCAACTGCTTCATGCGCTTTCGGTGCTCACTTTGTAGTCCGCGTCCACCTGGAACCATCCTGTGACACGCAAGCCTTACCATTAGTACCCCCTCAAAGCGGCTCAAACAAAGCAAATGCCGCGCCTCAATACCAAATGGCAGCCTGCCCCCTGGTCACAATTTTCGGCGTACGTCACAAAAAAGCTTACCTCGCAATCGTCACACACTTTCAGTGCTCACTGTGGAGTCCTCATCTACCGTTGACCACCCTGTGACCCGCCAGCCCCACCATAAGTACCCCCCTCGATTAGGTTCAAACCAAGAAGAGAAAAAAAAAAAGGCGCGCCTCAACACCAAATGGCAGCCGGCCTCTTGGTCACAATTTTCGGCACACATCAAAACAAAGCTCACCTCGTATTCTTGACACGCTTGTGCTGCTCACTGTGGAGTCCTCATCCACCGTTGGCCGCCCTGAAACACGTTAGCCCCACCATTAGTACCCCCATCAACGGCCAAAACTAAACCAAAGGCGCGCCTTGGCTCCTTGGCCAGCACCAAATGGCAGTCGGGCATGTGGTCACAATTTTCGGCGCACGTCAAACCAAATATCACCTCGTATTCTTCACGAGCTTCCGCTGCTCCCTATGGAGCCCTCGTCCACCGTTGGCCGCCCTGTGACCCGCCAGCCCCACCATTAGTATCCCCCCTCAAAACGGCCTAAAGGTGCGCTCGTCAGCCGACACCAAATGGCAGCCGGGCCAGTGATCACAAGTTTCGGCGCACGTCAAAACAAAGCTCACCACGCATTCTTCGCACGCTTCCGCTGCTCAATGGGAAGTATTCATCCACCTGTGGCTATCCTGTGACACGACAGCCCCACCATTAGCACCCCCCCTCAGTAGTTCAAACCAAGAGAAAAAAAAAAGGCGCGCCTCAACACCAAATGGCAGCCGGGCCAGCGGTCACAATTTTCGGCGCACGTCAAAACAAAGCTTACCTCGCATTCTTCACACGCTTTCGCTCCTCACTGTGGAGTCCTCATCCACCGTTGGCCGCCCTGTGACACAGCACTACCGTCGGAAACGCCGGCGTTTCAAAAATCGCAAAAATCACTCTTGGTTTCGTTTCTGGCAGCGGGCATCATGGATAGCATTTTCAAAAGCGGGCCTAAGATCGGTTTCTCACCTGCATTTGAGCGGGAGTGCTTCGTGCCGGATCTGGCCAGGCTCCGTGGCTCTTGGGCCTAGCTAGCGCGTCCATCAGCGCACGAGCGGTTGCGGCTCTTCATGGGTCAGATCGAGGAAATGTCTTGACAACAAATGGCAGCCCATCACGAGATCAGCAAGAATGGTCCATCCACGACGGTCACGCGGCAATGTCGTTTGGCCACCCGTTCATCCATGACGTCGCTTGCACCTCGACAGCACTTGCCCGTCGCGCCACAACGACGAAAACGCACCACCAGGAGCGCGCGCGCGCCCCGCCCATGGCCCGCTTCATCGTGGCGCGTGTCAGTGAGAAAAAAAAAAAAATGAAGCCAAAAGCAAAGGGAAGGATATGGAGGCAAGAGGTTTATGAAGCAAAGATTCATTTTATTGAAGCATATCTTAGCCAGTCAGAGTAAAACGTCGCAGTCGATTCAGCAGTTATTGAAGATACTAATCATGATGACATTCTGACATTCGGTTCTGTGTTCTGATTCTCAAAAGAGCTTCCTGTGTGTGTGTTTAGCGAAAACTGTCGAGGGGGCCGACTTGGGCTTCTGCCGCACTGGGGAGCAGGATCCTCGCACTTTCAAACACAAATTCCACAAGACGCCAATGCCCATCCCCTGGAGGTAGACCAGGAACGGACGAGTACAGCCACTTGACAAACGGGTCGCGCGTATCGAAATCCTTCAATGTCTGTTCCCTCAAGTTGTAGCCCATCCGCTGGGCCAGGTCGCGCAGCCCCTGATGACAGTCCGAATAAAGGAGGATACAGCTCAGGCCCGAATTCAGCCCCTGGGACTGCCTGCAACGGTGATCCCATGTATCCCATCCACGAATCTTCCTTGGCATTCCACAAGCGTAGCAACAGGCTCTGTCGGGGTATGCGAGGTGCACTGAACAATCACTTGTCTCGTGTCCTCCGAAGTGACACCGCTCACAAACACGATGCATACGCA